GTCTCCTTATCACGCCTGTAAGTGGATAAGCCCTGACCTTGTCTTCTTTCTTGAGCAGCATAAAAACGAAAGTTGAGAGGCAGTAAGGTTTGGAGGACGACGCTCCTCGCAACACTAGTGTCCTTATCACGCTTCCTTGAATCCCAATCCTACGTAGCGTCTCCCAGTTCTCCCAATTCCCTATGAGGCGTTTCTCCCAACTCCCTATAAGGCTGCGTTCATACTTTACGGCAGCGTCCACCAGCGACCATGAGCGTTTCGAGTGTCATCAGCGTCAGCGACTAGGAAAGTATAGATATCGATCTAGCGAACGGCAGCGTCTACCAGCGTCTAGCAGCGTCTGGCAGCGTCTACCAGGTCCAGGAGTACGGTATTGCGTAATAGTACCGTGCGCTTATACACGCCACATTTTCACCTCGCCTAATAGAGCTGTTTCCTTCATCTTACTTCCCTATACTCTACCAGCAGTCCGCTACCCTCCTACTTCCTCATACTCTCTACTCCTGCACGGCGGCGGACGCTGGTAGACGCTGCCGTTCGCTAGATCGATATCTATACTTTCCTAGTCGCTGACGCTGATGGACGCTCGAAACGCTGATGTTCAGTTATAGACGCAGATGGTCGCTGATGGACGCTGGTGGACGCTTCCGCAAAGTATGAACGCAGCCTAACACACACGAAAAAAAAAAACAGTGAAGCCTCAACCGAGTGGCTTCTTTTCGAGGCAGAATGCTAACAAAATACGAGCCCCTCTCCGACTGGAGATTCTCCCAACGGTGCTGTACCCAGAATCTTTTTCACCATTAGGTCATAACTAACAGTACGTAATCAAGATCAAATGCAAGAAGCCATGGGTACTAACGTTCTCTTACGGACGAGCTCTTCAAGCGTCATGTATGGCAAAATGGAAAGGTCAAGATAGCAATGTCAAGGATGCTCAGGTGAGGGTCTAGCAGAATTCATATGGCTGCAAAGTGTGAGGGTCACTACGCACCCGAGCGCGTACCGACTCCGCCCAATCAGGTCTACTGATAAAAGAAAACAAACGACTTCAATTTCCAGGCCATTCTTCTACAACGAGCGCGGGCAAACTCGATGGCAGCCCTCGGCAAATATACTGGCGATGCGGAATGCTGGAGGTGCCGCCTCAAAATCCCTATTCGTAGCCAATCATGCTTACTAGTCCTTATCAGTATCAACTATGAAAGATTCAGCACATACTCGACGATTATTGTATACACATAGTGTGTTTATTGAAGGAAACATAAAGACCACTGTGCTGTAAATGTATATGCTCTAAATTTATCCCGTTTCACAAGCAGCATAAGGCGGTAGGCGGTGCA